CACTTGGAATAACTTGAGAGAATTCTACACTTCATGAAAATCGGCTAGCCCTTTCTTAGTATCTCTAGTGCCGATTTTGTCAAGAATAATATCTTTATATAGTGTTACAATTAGGGCAAACCCTAATTGTCATGACTTTCCATTTCCTTGGATCCATGGGTTCAAATACACCATGGAGCATCCATGGAGCATCATATGGGTTTTAGCCTAACTAGATAATCCATGGAGCATTAGCCCACTATACAAGTATGGATGATTTACACAATCAACCCATATATTTAATTAGTCTTCTTTTGATCACTTAATTAATCCTAGATTAATTCTTGATCAATACTAATTAAATAATCTTATTATTCTTATTATTAATATACTAGCACTTATAATATATTAATAACCGTAAGTGTCTTATTTCTCTGATTATAGTCTATCTAAGTGCATGATGCCATGCAACCCAAATGGACCATGCCGGGTCGGGTCAAGTCTTACCAATTATAGTTATGGACTTAGACATTAATCCAACACATGTAACATGCACAAAATTTCATAAAAATTTAAACTTTTTCAACCAACCCAAAAATCATAATTGTTTACATTGCAGTTTTCAAAACAAGTTTAACATCAGATTTTTTCCTAAAATCCCAAAACATAACATGAGGAGGTGCATAACCAATCCTTTTCCTTCCTATCATCATTTAAGATACCTAAAACATAACCCAAAATTGTAAGCCTAAAGCTTAGTGAGTTCCCCTAAAGTATCAACACAACAAATAACACATAAACAATAACAACATACTATAGGTCCAATTAACCATTAGGTTGGAATACCCCAAGCCCCTCGACCATCAGGTTGGAATGCCAACATCTATAGGTCCAATAAATCATCGGGTTGGAATAACCCAAGCCAACAACCATTAGATTGGAATGCAAACATACTATGGATCCAAGCATCATCTGGATGGAATACCCTTGGCCCTCAGCCATCAGGATGGAATGCCCCGACCTGTTGCCTTACGCAAAAAGCAGTGAAGCCTCAGTCAGCGTGTAACATCCGGACATCCAGGTATATTATTTACTTATTTATTTATTTCTTTAGATACTCGACGAGTCGGTGCCCCAACTCATCGATTAGAGTCGCGAAGTGCCACGAGGGTTTAATGACCTACTTGACGAGTCCGAGGAGCCGACTCGCCGAGTAGGCGATGGGATGAGAAACCCTAAATCCCTGGGTTTGGGGCCTATTTAAAGGCACTTATAGCCTCATTTGTGGCTACGCTTTCTTGAGAGCAAACCCTAACCGACCTTTGAGCTTAGAGAGAGAGAGAGAGAGAGAGAGAGAGAGAGAGAGAGTGCTTTGCTAATTGTGAGTGGTTGGTGCATCTTGTGAAGAGAATAGAAGATCTCCAAGCCAAGGGACAAGAGAGTGTTGTTTGATCTATGGTTGTTTCACTACAAAGCTTCTGGGAAAGGTATAAATCTTGCACCTTTCTCATTATTTCATATAGATCTCATGGTTTTGTGAATCTAGGGTTTTTCCTCCCAAATATGAGGACCTTGAGTGTTTTATGTTTAGTAAAAGGGTTGAATTTCAGATCTGGACCATGTAAGGTCCTTAGAGTCCAAAAGTCCCTGCTTTATTCAACCATAATAGAGATCTTGAGTGAAATACCCTTTTTGTGGTGTTTTTTTTGGCATTTTAAGATCAAAATGACATGCACGGACGTAAAGCTTATAACTTTACGTGCTTGATGAGCCTTGGGAGTATAGATCCAGAGTTTGGAGAGGTTATCTGCCTTGAAAACGATTGAATGAGATATCAGTCTTAATGGACTCGCCGAGTCAAGGAGCCGACTTGACGAGTCGGATGCGGTTGTCCTGATGGTTTTGATCACGCAGCAACTCGACGAGTTGACGGGTCAACTCGATGAGTTGAGCCAGACTTTTGAATGATTCTGTGGATGGCGATCAGACTCTTCGAGTCCATAAGTGCACTTGATGAGTAGGGTCAACATGGACAGTTGACTCGAGTTTGACTTTTGTTGACTTAGGGTTTGGTAAACCTTGTCTGTTGGAAACCATGGAGGGGTAAACTGGTCTTTTACCCACTTCAAGAGAGTGAGAGAGATAACTAACTAAATGTGTAATTTAAAGAGTTAATTAGATAATTATCTTATGTGATTAAGAGGAGGCTAGACTTGGGGATTCGTATGCGAGAGTATTCATTCACTTAGCTTACTTACGAGGTGATTCTTCTCACTATACTTACCAATAGTGGTATCTTTACGTGATTGAGTTGTTTTATGTGTTTATTAGTGTATCGTAGTATTCTACACTATGTCTTGTGATTATTGCTGAATATTTAGCTTACTTACGAGGTGAGTCTTCTCACTATACTTACCAATAGTGGTATCTTTATGTGATTGAGTTGTTTTATGTGTTTATCAGTGTATCGTAGTATTCTACACTGTGTCTTGTGATCATAGCTGAATATTGTTGTTATGAGTTTGCTAAGATGGGACCGGAGGGTTCCACTAAGATACATTGACCGGAGGGTCTTATTGAGTTATGGCCTACAGTGGCTAATGAGTTGTGTATGATAATCTGGGGAACTCACTATGCTATATATAACTAAAACTAAAACGACAGTCGGACAAATAACTAATACCCTAAGTCCACATCAGAACAACGAAAAGGAAATACACCGAGTTATCAGTCCTAAGCCCTTTAAATCTTATATATATATATATATATATATATATATATATATATATATATATATATATATATATATATATATACGAGTTTTGGGGAAAATATATGTACAATCCAAAAATACAAGCCAAAAATTTTGTTTTAATTAAGTTATTGCATAACACCATTAGTCTAAAAACATTCATATTAATATCTCACGTCAAAACCAAAGTGTCAATAATCAAAACATAGTAACATAAAACCGTATCAGAGAGTAATCCCAAGGATCTCGTGTGCGGAAATCGTGGTGTGATGCGTTGCGATCGAGTCGGCTCCCTTCCTTTGAAAACAGAGTACCTGAAACTAAAACTGAAAACCATAAGCACGAAGCATAGTGAGTTCCCCTATCATACCACATACCACATAATGCATATCCTCGGTATCTTTCAACCGGTATCTGTCTGGCATAACTGGGAGCTGGACTCCCCTTCGGTATCTTTCAACCGGTACTCAAGAACTAACCTCCCCTTTGGTATCTTTCAACCGGTAACCGGGAGCTAACCTCCCTTTCGGTATCGTTCAACCGGAATCCGGGAACTAACCTCCCCTTCGGTATCTTTCAATCGGTAACCGGGAGCTAACCTCCCCTTCGGTATCTTTCAACCGGTATCCGAGGACTATTTCATCCCCTATCACTATCACATAATAACAGGTCGTATACATATTGGTTCCATGATAACATAACATAAACATACTGAATCACATAATGGCATATCATAACCATACTGGTCACATAATATCATATCATAAACATATTTCTCACGTAATGGCATATCATAACGATACTGGTCACATAATATCATATCATAAACATACTGCTCACATAATGGCATATCATAACCATACACATCACATAATAACATATCATATACATACTGCTAGGCATGCATGGGTCCTGTCCACCCCTTCGGTATCTTTCAACCGGTAACTGAGGACTATTGCACCCCTATTACTACTAACACATATCTCACAGCATCCTACTACAATAAGCATATCAATTAATGGTAACCAGATAATTATCACGAAGACAATCATCTCAAACATAATCACCTAGTGGTCGGCCGACATTGGTGCCTTAGACCCACCCCTATTGGAAGGTAACTCGCCTCTCACTACTGAAGTCCTATAGACTCAACCCCACACTGCTAAAGTCCTGCATACCCAACCTCAGCTACTGGATGATAGATTCCCGAACTGTCAATATCAAAACATCACCCAATTACTAATTAGGTTCCACCACATAACCATAAATACATACTTGGGTAAATACTACTTTACCCCTAACTCAACTTTATCCAAGCCCAAGGCCAAATCCAAAGGCCCAACATCATATAATCATTAAGGCTCAAACTATGGCCCGATTTTCCAAATTGGGCCCAAACCCCTTACATGGGACTTACCCTAGGCCTATTAAATTATTCTAGTTTAATTGCTTGCTCTTGGATGGTCCATTATTATCTCAGTCATTTAGGCCCAAATAGAAAGGCCCAATAATAAACCCAAGTGAAATTAGGGTTTCACATAAAATGATGATTAGGATTAAGTTTCTTACTTAACCTATCAAGGACTTAATCCTCTAAGGACTTAATCCCTTAAGTCCCATATTGCTTAGATTAATCTTGCCAATGATTATTATTTAATATTTCCAGTTATTAAATAATATTCACGTGTCCCGATTAATTCCCCAAATTAGGGTTTTATTGGCATTGGAGTTTTCCAAACCCTAATTAGGGTTCCAACCCAAATATTAGCCCATTAATTATTTTTTTGGGCTTTTAGGTCAATTAGGGCTTTATTGGGCCTATCAAGCCCACTATAATATCATTGAGTCCATTAGGATTTTATTAGGGTCCATTAGAGTCCATTAAGCTTCATTGGGCCTATTTGAGCTTCTTTGGGACCATTAGGGTTTTAAGCACCCCCAAACGAATCAAACTCACAAAAAAAACACACCGCCACCCGACATGTCGGCTGGTAGCGGCAGGAGGCGGCAGCCACCACCCTACGGTGGTGGTTAGGGTATCTTTTTCCATTATTCCAGCTCCGGTTACAACATTACAATAAAAATAGCAACTGGAAATGCAAACACACACTAACAAACAACTACATATGGTGGTACACGATGGCAGCCACCACCTCACGGTGGTGGTGGTGGCCTTCTCCGAATTCAGGCCAAAACAAGAACATACCCTATGACCTACACTGAATTACACCCGAAGATACACACACTCACAACCGGAACAGTGACACCACTACCCACCTAGCGGCGCACGATGGTTGCGGTTGGCTGAACTTGCAAATGGCAGCAGCGCTGGCAGTAGGTGGGAGTCATGACTCATGACGATCGGCAACAACTTCACGGGAGAATAGCTACACTGCGGTTGTAACAACGACAAACCCCAACAGTCGCAAACGCGACCGAATTCTCTCACGACTACCTCATCGGTCCTAATCTCATCTCCGGTAGTGGTGGTGACGTACCATGAATCAAGAGCAAGAGCAGCACCATCCGTCGGTGCTCTGGTGGTGATGGCGACGACGAGCATTTATGAGGAGTGGAGACAGTAGGCTGGAGAAAGGAGGGCACACGCAACCCACCCACGAACCACCACACAACCTATGGTCGATGGTCTCCGACTCTCGCGACTGGATAACCAATGGGCGGCGACCCTTCATCTTCGACGGCAGCAAAGGTCCGTCGGCGACCTTGGTTATTCGAAGCAGCGTGAGGAGGAAGAGGCATGGCAGCGAGACGAGGGTGAAGGAGATGTTGCATGGCGGATGAAAGGGAGTGGGTGTCGGCTGTTACATAAGTTGCTTAGGGTTAGGGTTTCATATTCAATATATACCTGATGGACACAGACATATTACCATAATGGCAAGATATGTCCCTCCAGCTGTTATTTATTTTAAAGTAGATCCAGATTTTACCTTTTAGACCTCGACTCCTAACATACTTATCAGAATAAGCCCAACAGTTACTAAACAGCCCCTATCTTCTAAAACATTTACAAAACTAATAGATAATTTACAAAGCCACCCCTTTCTTGACGAATTATGTTCAATTAAGGTCCAGAATTCACCCTTTAGCCCTCAACTTCTAAATTTATGACAATTAGCCCCTCGAGACCATCATTTGATATATAGTTATTTATTTTAGGGCTTATATTCATTAATTAATTTATTTATTTAACTAATAAATAAACGGGCTTTACAACTCTCCCCCATTTAAATTAGATTTCGACCTCGAAATCACTCCTTACTATTTCTTATATGCCAAACCACTTCTAGTAACATGATCACCGTCCTGGGCACACCCTAGCCTTCCTAGGGTAGCTATGACCAATCTTCGCAAAGCCCTAATATCCTTATATGAACGGATTCCTTGAAACAGGATCACATCTACTTCGTCTAAATCTACTATCTCGAGATGGTCTGATTCCCTGACAGACCACTCATACTGAATCATCATCGACGAATCCAGTATGTTTATCCCTCAACTGTCTACTCAACTTCTGATAGTTCGAGGTTCCCACTATAAAACAAGATTAAATACCTAATTATCCCTGCAGATCACCTATACTTGGCCAAGGCTCGGCTAATCCTGTTATGATTGATAAATACTAACACTGCCCAAACGAAGAAACTGCCCGAACACTAAACTGCCTGAAGCCATATGTTGCTACATGGGTGCTTTCCAAAATCTACCGAGACCTCCCTGGTCTCAATTTGTTCACCAATCATTTAAAATACCAGGTTCCGGCCCGGCTGCGGAGCCCAAGGACTCCCACTTAGTCGCCTCACACGACTTCTGAATGAAATCCTTCTCTGGAACTAGTTGCAACTAGTTATCATGCCATTGTAAGTCTAAAAACTTTCTGATCTAATCGATTGGTTCCATGCGTCGAATCCTGACATCATCAAACCCAAGGCTAAAAGTGATGGCTCCATGACCAGCTGTAGCCTTATATCAGATATGAACCTAAGCAATCCATTGCTTCCCTGATCTCATAATTGCAATGACGTTCCAACTATCGTATCGTTGGCTCAACCGGATCTAATCCATGTGGGAAATCCCAAAATGTAATCCGTGGATTTCCATATCCTCACTGCTGCACCCGAACTGGTGGGTACTACTGTTCCTTCCGTGTTCCAACAACACGCTCATGCCACCTACCAGTCTAGTGAGGCTATGGCTACACTCGCAGTCTTATGACAATCTATCACTATTTTCCAACCCTTGTGAATGCTACGACTACCCCCGCAGCCTTACGACATGTCCCAAACTACTTGATCGCTAGTGAATGCTACGGCTACCCCCGTAGTCTTACAACACTTTCCATGCTGTATGTTCACTAGTGAATGCTACGGCTACCCTCATAGTCTTACAACACTTTCCATGCTATATGTTCACTAGTGAATGCTACGGCTACCCCGTAGTCTTACACAACTGTTCATGCTAACTGAACACTAGTGAATGCTACGGCTACCCCCGTAGTCTTACAACACTTCCCGACCGGGTCGATTACGCACCCGACCTAACACTCAACTGACTTGAGCCCCAACTGGAACTCTAACCTGGTTCCCAAAACCTGCTATTTGTTGCCAAGGCAAAGCATGAACCAATGTTGGAACGTGTATTGAACTCCTAACTCACCTAATCCTCGACCGAGATGTCCAATCGACCGCCTTTTCCCCAACGGGGAAGCGAAACTCATCCTAGTTTCACACCTTTTTCTACCATGGATACCTGATCGATTCTCCCCCACTTAGCTCCGGCTAAGTCTTCATAGCACATGAGAGTTGAAGGGTTCCCAATCCTTCGTACTTTCTAATAGTCCACTGTCAACAATCTGAGCGTACTAATGTTGCAATCAATTACCAACCAACCTCAAGATTGCCCATTCTCGGATATTCTGAAGAGTACTCCTAAATTCTGGTCCAGTCTGACACCCCAATCCACATGTCATGCTGACCATTAGAGACCTTAATTCTTACTCTGGCTGACGAATCGTCGTCCTCACTTCCAATCTTGCAGCGCCACTGAATTCTAACTTCATTGGAGAACTATTGCTCTAATCGTGACCCCATCGTCCCTGAATACCCTCCTGCACAGATCTCGACAAGGATCCGGGATGAGAATGATAAACGCGGAATCCACTCCTCAAGATACATCCCTCTCTAGGTTCATCAAGGACTTCTCAGCATGTAGTATGGCATATAACAATCCTTGATAACCCCAAGCAATAGAGGAGAACTGACCCAGGATCTGACTTATCCCATCCCACTGATAACTCTAAAGCAATACATATTCCCAATATCCACTTTGAAGTGGCAGCAGATGACATACCTACGAACTTTTGATGAAATCCTGATCCTGATGACAGGAACCAACTATAGAATCTTCATTCCCGAAGAATTCTAAGAATCCACAGTCCGTGGGTTTCAAATGAACACCTAACTTCCCCGCGACAAATCTGGCCCAAAGGCCCGAGACGAATACCAAAAGATCCCAAATTCCTTCCTTGGTTGAACAGAATACCACCATGGTCCATTCCCATAACTCTGCAAGTAATCTCTAATGAGATGAACTCCTACGATCGCGCATTGGCTGGCCCAGGCTTTGCTCTTGAGCCGGAACTAGAATCTGAATCTTATTCTTGGGTGCTTACACCATACTAAACTGATATTCCAAGGATTCGAATATAACCAAGAATCCTCATCACCTTTTGTTGACATGACCAATCCCACTACCTTGTAGTAGCCTAAACCCTTGGAGCGACAAACTCCCTTGTGCACTTTCCCGTACGTGCTGCATTGAGTTCAGCCTCGTTGGCCTTTTATCTGATGATCAAAAGTCATGGGTCTCCTCCCAGGACCCTCTACTATACGCATTTGGCACAAACCTCTCTTCCCATGGGGCTCCAAATCAATCTCGCATCTACAAATTCTTGGAAATCATATCCTTCAGGGTTTGACACCCTGTCACGCTGACCAGCTCACTTGCCAATGGCTAAGCTGCAACAACTGAAACATCCTCTGTCCCCAAACCGGGTCACTAACTTCCCCTGAAGCTTCTCAGATTCTCCAAGACTCTCACTGATTCGAGTATGGATCCTATGCTTTCAGTAGTACGGGCCTAATACTACCTTCCACACTTATCCATACATTCCTCAGCAATCCTCCCGAATCCTCTAAGTCACTTCCTCAAACTGTTAATCTGAATGCTCGCTAACAGCACAACCAAACCCACTAAAGCACTTCCTAGGCTCTCCTAGGTTCCCATACTCACCCAACCCTCAACTGCTAAAGGACTTTGACTTCCCACTAATATCAACTAGCTACCTCGTGAATATACAACTTGCGATTTAGCATATTCACTTAGTAGCGAGCTCACATTACAAAGAGTCCATCGAAGCACAAAGCAAGCAACATTCACGCAATGGGAAATCTAACCTACATATTCCAATCAAATCAATTTATCCTCCTATCAGGAATATATACTAGCATGTATCTCCAAAGGCTGATACAATCAGGCATAACCTAAACAGGCTATCCTATCACTGACTGATCAATATTATCATGTAATTCAGCAAGCACATACAACAGGCTTATAAGACGTCTTCCTAGATCCTTATCTCTAGTCTAGCATGCAGTTCTCATAATCATATCATATCATAACATAACATGTACGGGTATCTTGGGGAAAATTTACTTGAGCTCGGTTGATTGCACGCATCACACACTTTGTTCTTTTCAAAGTTCTTTTCTCCTTCCAAATTCTCTTCAAATTTTTTTATAAAAGGGTTTTACTTTTGAAAATTTCATACCAAGTTAGTTTGAGTTCAGACACACCCGAGAGTGTGCCCGAATCCCTCAAACCAAGGCTCGGATACCAACTTGTAACATCGCAAAAATACAGGCCAAAAATTTCGTTTTAATTAAGTTATTGCATAATACCATTAGTATAAAAACATTCATATTAATATCTCACGTCAAAACCAAAGTGTCAATAATCAAAACATAGTATCATAAAACCGTATCAGAGTGTAATCCCAAGGACCTCGTGTGTGGAAATCGTGGTGTGATGCGCTGCGATCGAGCCGACTCCCTTCCTTTGAAAACAGAGTACCTGAAACCAAAACTGAAAACCATAAGCACGAAGCTTAGTGAGTTCCCCCATCATACCACATACCACATAATGCCTATCCTCGATATCTTTCAACCGGTATCTGTCTGGCATAACTGGGAGCTGGACTCCCTTTTGGTATCTTTCAACCAGTACTCAGGAACTAACCTCTCCTTAGATATCTTTCAACCGGTAACCGGGAGCTAACCTCCCCTTCGATATCTTTCAACCGGGATCTGGGAACTAACCTCCCCTTCGATATCTTTCAATCGGTAATCCCCTTCGGTATCTTTCAACCGGTATCTGGGGACTATTTCACCCCTATCACTATCACATAATAACATGTCATATACATATTGGTTCCATGATAACATACCATAAACATATTGAATCACATAATGGTATATCATAACCATA